GCTCCAGACTGCTGCTGAGCAGGGCTTCCTGTGTTAATGAGCGGCCACTCACTCGCACAGCTTAGAGGGAACACTGGTGATGAAACTGCCTTTTCTCCTTCTTTCTTCAGTGAAGCTGTGCTGACAGAGATGAGAGAAGAGAGCACTCATCCCTTCCCTTTCCCCCTGCAACCTCCTAAAACCTATGGCTGCTACTCTATGACCCTGACAATAACCTTTCCCCTCAAGTTGGTCAGTGGCTCTTACGTCCAAGCTCAACCAATTAGGGATAGTAGTTGATGACTTTTCTACATCTAACAAGTCATATATCTTTAATTGTATCAAACAGAGACTGTTAGACTGGGAGAAACTTAAATTATGTCCAATTAATCCTTATACTTTCTCTCCAGCCTCACTGGGTCTCGATATTTTCTACGACAAGATGCCCCATTATTTATCGGACCTAACGACTCCAAATCACCGTAGGGTGTTTGTGCTGGCCAGATTAAATGCTCTCCCATCTAAAGTCTTACAGGAGAGATATCGTCGAGTACCCCTGAGTGAAAGACTCTGCTCCTGTGGAGCGAATATCCCTGACTCAATTCGGCATATATTGCTCCACTGTTCTAGATATGACAATCTCCGTAAGAAAATATTTCAAAAGCTCTCTTTACCCCCTATTTGATCAATCCTTCTTTCTGTCGGCATTTATTGAGTGATACTAAGCAGGAGATTACTGAGGCTGTAGCCAGTTTTTTGGCAGATATTCTTAAATCCAGACCTGACAAAGTATGACTGTATGTGTAATCATTTACATATGGTAAATCTTCTTTCCATTCTATATATAGTTGATTATGTATGTTATGCCATTAAAGGCCGGAATTGAATTGAATAACCTTTCCCAGTGACGGAAAGGACTTCTAGTTGGAGGGAAATGTGGGAAACATCCATAGACATCCATGCCTTCCATTGATGGATCGCAGGATCCAACCCATAGAATAAAAATGGCTCCGCTCTCAGCCAGTCATGAGGGGACAGATACAGAGAAGGAGGTAACCATCATGGTATGGAGAGCCCAAGCTGATTTGGGCTATAGAAGTTAACTTTATTTTATTTTTCTTTTATTTGGTTATTTATAGTCCACCTTGCTTGCTGAGACTCAAGGCGGATTACTTAGTGTAAACCAAGTACAATCAACAAGACATCCAAAGAGCAAGACAATAGGCTTTGGACTAAAGGTAAAGGTTCCCTTGCTCGAAAGCCAGTCGAATCCGACTCGAGGGTTGCGGTGCTCATCTCCATTTCAAAGCCGAAGAGCCAGCGCTGTCCGAAGACATTTCTGTGGTCATGTGGCCGGCATGACTAAACACCAAGGTGCACAGAACGCTGTTACCTTCCCACCGAAGTGGTACCTATTTATCTACTTGCAATTTCTTGCTTTTGAACTGCTAGGATAGCAGGAGCTGAAACTAGAGACAGGAGCACAGTCCGTCATGCGGCACACTCGGGTCTCGAACTGCTAAACTACCGACCTTCCACAGCCTGCAGTTCAGCATCTTAACCACTTGAGCCACCGCAGCTACAGAAATCTAAAATCTAAAACAAAAAGAGCTGAAACAAGCATGAGCTTTCAACATGATATGTTAAGTGCTGTAGAAACTACCTACTCTGGAACACACTTACAGTGTTAGCTAGCAATACAGTGGTGTAGGTTGCAGTCCCTCCCTATCCCTTTGCCAATGCAACTTTCTGACCACTATAGTAACTGGGAAAATGCCTGCCATTCTGACTATGAGACAGATTTCACCTGTGCAGCCTCCCCCTCCCCCCCCCAAATGCTGGGTAAAAGGGCTAGGCCAGCCAGTGCCAACACCGGAGAGACAGCAGCTTGATGAATATGGATAGCCTACTGAGCCTTCCAGCCCACCTTTTTACTTGAGAGTTGAAAATCAGACATGTACTGAAGCAGCTATAAGCTGATGTACGGGGGTGGGGATTTGTATTAAAGCAGGAATGATTTGTATTAAACCAGGAATGGGTAGCAGCTAGTGAATGGAAGATGACTGCTCATGATCAAAGGCAACAATCATCAAGAAATAGCCCCTGACCCATCTCTACATTCTCTGAAAAAAATGGGGGGGGGGGATGGAAGGCACAGTTTGTTGTTCAGTCACACAGTCGAGTCCAACTCTTCGCGACCCCATGGACCAGATCACACCAGGCCTTCCTGTCTTCCACCGTCCTCTGAAGTTGGCTCAGCTTCATGTTCGTTGCATCTATGACACTAACAATCTCATCCTTTGCCGTCCATGTCTTCTTTGACCTTCAATCTTTCCCAGCATCAGGGTCTTCTCCAGTGAGTGCTCCCTTCTCCCTTATAAGTTATTTTAAGGATTGTTTGTTGTGTGTGTATGTGTGTGTTCATAATTACTGCTTCCAGCGTTTGGCAGCCATGGCAATTATTTTGTGAATCCACAGAGGGTTCTATGGATTCAAGGGGGGGAGCAGATATCCCCTCGTCACCTCTTCTCCCCAGTCTGAAGTCCTTGTTTGTTGTTCAGTCGCACAGTTGAGTCCGACTCTTCGCAACCCCATGGACCAGATCACGCCAGGCCTTCCGGTCTTCCGCCATCCTCTGAAGTATGTTCAACTTCATGTTCGTTGCATCGATAACACTGTCTAACCATCTCATCCTTTGCCGTCCCCGTCTTCTTTGACCTTCAATCTTTCCCAGCATCAGGGTCTTCTCCAGTGAGTGCTCCCTTCTCATTTGGTGGCTAAAGTATTTGAGCTTCAGTTTCATTATCTGGCCTTCCAGGGAACAGTCAGGGTTGATTTCTTTTAGGATTGACTGATTTGATCTTCTTGCAGTCCAAGGGACTCTCAAGAGTCTTCTCCAGCACCATAGTTCAAAAGAATCTATTCTTCGGCGCTCGGCCTTCCTTATAGTCCAACTCTCGCAGCCATACATGACTACTGGGAATACCATTGCTTGGACCATGCGTATTTTTGTTGGCAGGGTGATGTCTCTACTTTTTATCATGCTGTTGAGGTTCGCCATCGCTTTCCTCTTTCCTCCCAAGGAGCAGGCCTCTTTTAATCTCATGGCTGCTGTCACAGTCTGCGGTGATCTGGGATCCCAGGAACGTGAAGTCTGTCACTACTTCCACGACTTCCCCTTCTATTTGCCAAGGAGTGATGGGGCCGGATGCCATGATCTTAGTTTTTTTGATGTTGAGCTTCAAGCCCACTTTTGCGCTCTCCTCTTTTACCCTGAGCAAGAGGCTCTTTAGGTCCTCTTCACTTTCTGCCATTAGAGTGGTATCGTCTGCATATCTGAGGTTGTTGATCTTTTCCCCAGCAATCTTAATTCCCGCTTGTGATTCATCCAGGCCAGCATTTCGCATGATGTACTCTGCATATATATTAAATAAGCAAGGCGACAATATACATCCTTGTCGTACTCCTTTTCCTATGCTAAACCAATCAGTTGTTCCATATCCGGTTCTAACTGTCGCTTCTTGGCCCTTATACAGGTTTCTCAAGAGACATGTGAGGTGGTCTGGTACTCCCATCTCTTTAAGGACCTGCCATAGTTTGTTGTGATCCACACAGTCAAAAGCTTTAGCATAGTCAATGAAGCAGAAGTAGATATTTTTCTGGTACTCTCTTGCTTTCTCCATAATCCAGCGAATGTTGGCAATTTGATCTCTAGTTCCTCTACCTCTTCGAAACCCAGCTTGTACTTCTGGCAGTTCTCTATCCACGTACTGTTGAAGCCTAGCTTGTAGGATCTTGAGCATGACCTTGCTAGCGTGTGATATGAGTGCAATTGTGCGATAGTTTGAACATTCCTTGGCGTTGCCCTTCTTTGGGATTGGAATGTATACTGATCTTTTCCAATCCTGTGGCCACTGTTGCGTTTTCCAAATTTGCTGGCAAATGGAGTGCAGCACTTTAACAGCATCATCTTCTAAGACTTTGAATAGCTCAGCTGGAATACCATCACCTCCACTAGCTTTGTTGTTAGCAATGCTTTCTAAGGCCCATTTAACTTCACATTCCAGGATGTCTGGCTCGAGGTCAGTGATTATACCGTCGTGGTTGTCAAGGACATCGAGGTCTTTCTTGTATAGTTCTTCTGTGTATTCTTGCCATCTTTTCCTAATCTCTTCTGCTTCTGTTAGGTCCCTACCGTTTTTGTCCTTTATCATGGCCAGCTTTGCATGGAACGTTCCCTTGATTTCTCCAATTTTCTTGAAGAGATCTCTAGTCCTTCCCATTCTATTGTTTTCTTCTATTACTTTGCACTGTTCATTCAGGAAGGCCTCCTTATCTCTCCTTGCTGTTCTCTGGAAATCTGCATTCAGTTGGGTAAATCTTTCCTTTTCGCCTTTGCCTTTCGCTTTCCTTCTTTCCTCTGCTATTTGTAAAGCCTCATCAGACAGCCACTTTGCTTTCTTGCATTTCTTTTTCTTTGGGATGGTGGTGATTGCTGCCTCGATGGTCAGTCTTGCCATCTCATTTTTGACCACGTCAAGCTTACCTTGATTCATAGATCTTACATTCCAGGTTCCTATGCAGTATGGTTCTTTGCAGCATCGGACTTTCCTTTCACCATCAGATACATCCACAACTGAGCGTCCTTTCGGCTTTGGCCCAGCAACTTCACTCTTTCTGGGGTTACTTGTACTTTCCCTCTGCTCTTCCGCAGTAGCATATTGGACACATTCCGACCTGAGGAGCTCATCTTCCGGCGTCATATCTTTTAGCCTTTTGATACTGTCCATGGGGTTTTCTTGGCAAAAATACTGGAGTGGGTTGCCATTTCCTTCTCCAGGGGGATCACGCTTGGTCTGAGTTCTCTGCTGTGGCCTGTCCATCTTGGGTGGCCCTCCACGGCATAGCCCACAGCCTCATCGAACCACGCAAGCCCCCTCGCCACGACAAGGCAGTGATCTATTAGGGGGGAAGGCACAGTAGGCTATGCATATTCAAATTCTAATAATGTACAAGTCTTACAAACCACACACACACACACACACACACACACAGAGAGACCATCAACTTACCAAGTATGCCACAAAGGCTAGGTACACAATGCTGATAATTGTGGCAATGACATACAATACCATCTGCCCCAGAGCGGTGACGTAGATCACCACAAAGTACATGTTAATGGAAATTATTATAATGACGAGAATCCCCCCAGCAATCTTCCAGCCCCTGGAAAGGAAAAACACATAGAGAGAAATTTATTACAACAGGAGGGGACAGACCGCGAATGATTGCCTACATTTGCAAGCTTGAGAATATAAATTGGTGTTAACATCTATTCCAAAGCTTCTAAACCCCACAGTTATAAGAATAAGCTAACCATTCAGAAACTTAACAGGATGGAAACGTATGAGTGGTGTGGAAACAGATGCAATACAGAAGAGCAAGACAGAGACTGTGTTCATGCATACTGAAAAAATGCAGCACTATTTGTTTCCCTATTACACATGCTTTTGGAAGGGGATGAGCGGGTGCAATCAATCAATTAGACCACTGATCTGCAGTTACAATCCCAATCAAATTGGGGAGGGGGCATGAAATGGGCCAAACTTCAAGCCTGTGATTGGAAAATGGGCAAATACCACACAGGTGGCCCATCAACATAGACCCTCCCCCCCCTTCAAATCCACTGAAATGTCATACTTCCTAGGCTGCAGTGGTGGTAGTGATGGACACAGGACAGAATGCTCATTTAAAAACTCCCTGCACCCTAGGGAGAAGATTCTTCTGCTTGACATCCTAGCCAACACCTTTCCTGATGCCCACTGAGTGTTTTTAGAAAGTGGGCAGGGCCAGGTGGGGCTTTTGCCCAGCAAAGCTTCTGACTGGCCACTGGAGATTTGATTGGCTGTGTAGGGTTTTTTTTAAAAAAACAACAACAACACTGTTTTGGCAGCAGCTGCCACAAGAAGCAGCTCCCTCTCTTCATTTAAGCAGGACTCAAATAACCCCGATGAAGCCAGTTTCCAGCAATCTCCTTCCAGATGCAGCTTCAAGTCCCCTTGACTTTAACAGCATTATTCATGCAACTGAACAGACCTGCACATGCCGATTCCCAGGCCACTGAAGGCATCTACTGACATGTGCAGCCCTTGGTAATTCACTGCAAAAATGTTGCTTCTCAAGTGTTTGGGCCAAAGTCCAGGTCCTACCTATGGCAGCAGCAGATGCATGTGATGGGCTAAGTCAAGGGCTGGGAGCAGACATGTACATGGGGTCCACCATACTCAAGCAGGCAAGAGACTGAGCCGGCCTTTTTATAGTTACTCTCTCTGACATTACAATAAATCCACAGGTACGTTAAAGACAAACATTTATTCCAGCACAAACTCTGTGCTCTTCTTGAGTCTCACTCAAGAATGCTTATGTGCAATAAGTGTTTTTAGTCTTTAAGGTGCCACTGGACTTCTGTTTTCTTCTGCTGCAACAGACTAACATGGCTACCCTGCTGGAATAGCGACAAAGCCACAGATTCCAGGCTTCATGTTAATTACGAACATATTCCGCAAATAAAGGGGATCCCCCTGTCCTTTTCTATCAGCGTAAAATGCACTGGACATTCACTTCACAGAACCCTACGTGTATGGAAAGAATTCCTCTCCAAGTGCACCCCTCCTCAAGGCTGGAATTATTGTGGCGAAGTCAACCAGACATTCGTGTTCAGGAGTTTAAAGGCAGCTTTGGCAAGTGATATGCTTTTTGGAGATTCTTTGAAGTGCCTGCCCTTCCTTGCTTGGAAACAATATTTATTATATGTTTCAAATTTCAACTGTTGTGAAGTTGCTCAAGGATGGGACGCATATGCAATTTTTCATACTTACAGCCCATTGGCAAAGTCATTCATCACAGGACGCAGACTGGTAAAGGTGAGGACTGGAATTAAAGCGAAGGGAAGCTGGAACACAAAACACAGAGAAACAGACTCAAGACCAAGGTTTTGCACCCCTTTGCTGTTTAGTCTCAATGTACCCTTGCTTATAATACACGATAACTTCTTTATCTTAAAAGAATGGATTGAAGGGACCTCCAATAGAGGTTTGTATCACAACAGACTACTAAAGCAAGTTCATCCACAATTGGTCTATTTGCCACACCTCCAAAACAGACCCCTGGTTGCCAGTGCCTATTAGCAACTCTGGTAATGTCAACCATGTGAAGGCTGTTCCTTCTTGTAAAATCAAAACCCACATTCACTCAACAGGTGAATTCTTCTGTGTGTCAAGCAGAAGACTTCTCAGTGAAAGTGGGGGGAAAGGGAGGATAGTTCTCAGAAGTTTGGAACCCATAAAACAAGGGGGACAAATGCTCAGTTCCTTCCAGGTAATATGGAATCATGAGGCTCAAGAAACATCACCATTTTGCCCCTCCTTGGGTGAGCATTCCCTGTTGAAGATATGGTTGTCTTCTGTAACCTGACAACCTGTCAAATTTAAACCTGAACTCTGTTCCATGACCATTCCCCATTCAATCTCCCCCATCTGGTCTACCTGGGAGTGACTAAATTAGGGACATGCATTTGGACATTCTCCAGCTTATAATATATCAAAAATATCAGTATTTTCTGGATATATTCAGGTCTCCCAAATATATCTGGGATTTTTTGCAATACTGAAAAATGGGTCCTGAAAAATCCCAGAAATATTCAGGATTAACTGGAAATACTGGGAGCTGACATTTGTATGTTCCCTGGACTTTTCTCTTTCCAAAAAACCGCCCCATGTTTCTGTGTCTCCTGGGGCTTGGTATTGGCTTGCCAGGATGCTTTAGGTAAGATTCTGTGAGTTTCAAGTGTTTTTGTTGTTTTTTAAAAGTTTAGTCCTTGCGCAAATTGGTTTGAGTCAGATTCTTGTCAAATCTTGCATTTTTACATTGAGATTCTCATGTTTTACTTAGTTATGTGTCTAATGTTGATGTGGATTGGGATTCTCAAGTTTTATCTAGATAGAGATTCTTGCATTCCACATATATTGATATTCTTATGTGACATACATTCAGATTCTCACATTTTATATAGGTTCAGATTCTTGCATTTTACATATGTTAGTCTTACCAATAGCTTCCAATAGCATTCCTATAGGGGAGATTCTTGGGTTTTACATTTTTTGCATCCCCCTCCCCCCATCTCTCCTTATATATAATTGAGTAGTGAACATTCTATTTCGCAACATTCTAAATTTGGCCTCCTTAGTGTTAGGCTGGAAGAAATGCCACTCAGAGGACACTGGCTGGGTTGACTGGCTGCTTTGTGCAGTCCCGCCCAGCGTTCCAAGGTCATTTGCTTATGGAAGCTGATTGGACGTCACTCCATTCCACACCTCAAACTCACCCCTCACCCCGCAAGACAGTTGGAATTTTCAGTTGCATAGGGGAGAGAATGATGTCAGCTGCCCTTTCCCTAGGCAGAGACTGTGTGTGTGGGGTTTTTTTTGAAAAGACAGACATTCTCTTCAACCCCCTGCTGTGCAGCTGACTTTCCCCTAGGGTTGCCATCTCCAGGTGGGACCTGGAGATCTCCCACTGTTACAATTGATCTCCAGATGACAGAGATCAGTTCCCCTGGAGAAAATGGATGCTTTGGAGGGTAGACCCTATGACATTATACCTGCTGAGTCCTTCCGCCCCCCCCCCCAATGCTGTCCT